TACCGTTGTGTACAATGTACCACCAAATAAATGCCACTTTCATTTACATAAGAAATGGGCAACGAAACCAAAAGACACTCTAATGAGCATGATATAATACGTCGATTATAATAATGCACAGAAGCAACAAAAAAATCATAATGCGACCATAAAACTTACCCAGAGCCTTTATCAACTTGGATATCTTTAAATGGTCAAAACTTGTAGTTGTTCGTTGTCATGCAAAGCGATTTGGCACAAGGTACAGAATTGACTGTACTCATTTGTCCATGCCGAATGTTCCAATAACTCCTAATGATGACAGCAGAACTAATAAAATCGTTCATCCCCTTGGGGGTGAGATAGGGGGATCTCAACCCGATGGGGGAAGATTCTTAATTTGCTCTTATCCTGTTGTTCCTGTCCAAGTGTAGGACGAAGCATATTGTTTGTAAACAGGAACATGTGGATAGCGTATTAATATTATATGTATGCGTCAGACGGTCCACGCATCATATTTTAAACATTTTAAAATCAATCCCATCTTCTTTGATGTCAAATGTAAACACGACAAGATTAGCAGACGAACTTGTGTATGTGTGTGACCTCATAAAAGTAGTTCTTTTTCCGGTTCACATCAGTGACGACAGGTTTATGTAGCTTGTCTCAACCCTAGGGCGAGACAAGGAAATCTCACACTCGGCCGCTTCCTCCAATAATGGTACGTATATGTACTTCTGTAATATACGCACATGCCACAATTGTGATGAAAAACACCACAGTGGGACACAAGACAATGCAATATTTTCATATTTCAAACAACTTTCATCAAAGTATTCAACTTTCTTCGTGCTTATGTGATAAATGAAATGTTTGGTATATTGCATTTATTCTAAAACGCTGTCTTCAGTTGGACGTGACAGCTGTATATACGTGAATTCCCTGGACGAAAGTGGATTTAGTAATGCGTCCAATATCCACTGTTCCAGGACGGTTTTGCTTATAAAAGAATAAACGATGAACTGTTCGCTAATGTCCCTGTACATGGATATTATACTCGATTTTACAACTCTGTACCATTGAAAACTTGTTTTCATATATTTGTTTCAATTTAATGTTTTGTTTTTGTTTTTTGTTTTCTTTGCTTCTGTCTTTGGTCACTGAGCAATATCTCCATCAGCCTCGCAATACTTTTTTGATGTTTCGATTCTTTTCGGTATTTACCCTAAACACCGAACTACACACTCAATTATTTCAGCGCACCTCTTCGAATAGTACTCGTCAGTTGTACTATCTCAATATTGTTAAATGATTAAAGAAATCAGGAATCCCCATCCTCGCATCCTCCATACTCCAGGGGTTACGCTCACTTACGCTCCCTGCACCCCTGGAATATGTCATAGCAAGATTGAAGGCTCGGTGTGCGTCACCTTGTTGATGAGACAAGAGGACGGGCGCCTCTCCTTTGTAATCTTCAAAGGACAGATAACAGCCTAGCGATTGGTCAGGATTTTTTTGTCAAGTAACAATGTAGACCAATTCAGAGAGAGAGAGGGAAGGTTATCTAATAAAAGACCTCGATGTAATTTTCTGATAACTGTGTAATGGAGACTAGCAACTAAATTTCCAGACAAAAGAGAAGCCATACAATACGTCATGAAGTTAATTGTAACTATCAGGGAGTGTGAGGGTGGAGAATTATGTCATACATGTGGCTTTATGTACATTGATACCGCAACCCATGTAGTTGTGATTATACGGGAGAATTAAGAGGTGATTTATGGTGTGATATTATAGATATAGGTGACGTTATTCGCATTGGAGGAAATGTAGAGCATGAGTTGAATTCATCGGAGTTAGATGACTTTCACATACAATATGTAACTTGCGTAAACAGAATGTGCTAACTTTACTATGAATGAAGTCCAAGTGCTACCCTAAGCTTCATACTGTGGAGACTGTATCATACTTCCTTTTTAATATTTCGTGTGTTGGTCATCTCTCGTCCGTCCTTAAATGACCACAGCTGTTGACAAATCAAAAGGAGCGTAGAGACGCAAAGGGGAGTTAACTCAAGAGTCAACCCGTACTTTGCAATACAATTATCGTTTGAATTTCATAGATGTATATTGCCATAATACAATTTTCTTTACTTTGTCAATTTTAAATGAATGCATATGGAAATTTAGTTCTGTATGAGAACCTTCTATTCGGTGGAAATAAAGAGAATAGTAATCAGTCTTTTTCCATGATTTAAAAAAAAAAAGGAACATTTTTCAACATAAAATATCTTTCAAAATAACAATTTTCACACTCACTTGTTTAATCTCTCAACTATATATCCGATGTAGACAAATGTCAAGTGTATACGTATAATATAAATATTTTAAGTATTTTAACCTATTGACATTTGAAGGCCTATACATAGATGTAGAGGTTTGACCGCACATAGGAAGGATAGTGTAGTTGGCTTTGAATGTTTTATTTTACATTATTTGAGGATCCCCGTACCACTGCAAGAAAATAACTAGAAACTGTTTTTCCGGCAAGATTATAGATTTGATAATTATTTCTGAAAGAAAACCAAATCTTGCGGGATTTTTTTGTGAAAAATTAAAGATAAAATAAACAAAATATAATACAAAAACCAGTGATATGAGTGTCAAAAACTCCACGGGGCTAGGCTCGGGTTCGAACCCTGAATTTAAGACTGCTAAATTATCGCTCTAACCGATTGAGCTACCTTTTTGATGGTAGCTTTAGAATTGGAAGCTGTACCAGCCATTTTGAGGGGTTTCCACATGGATATAAATAGTCTGTCTACTTTGATTGGCTCGCTAACATACTTTACACGCAGTGATTGGTTACCTACTGTCTGTGATGTCACCATTCGTAGAGGTACTAGTGGGGAAATTAATTGCAAACAAAAAGTGATAGATAAAGTCAGAGAGATCCGAATGTTAATACAGTATTGGACATTGTTCTACTATTCTAGCAATTAAATATATTGATTTTTTTCCCTGTAAGTTTTATAACAAAATATCCTAGAGTTATTCCCCTTCCATTTAGTTGAACGCTTATCAAAGACCTGTTGTCTTCATTCCTTCGTCAACACTGTGCCCTATTGTCGCTATTCAATTCACATTTACAGTGATGTAACAGAGGACCGGACCATGTTCTGTTAGCTCATGTCCGTGTCTTAATATGTACGGTCATAGATACCATCAAGTGTGTTGCACAAGTTTTAGTGACATTTGTTTAGATGTCATTGTTGTCCCGACAAAGGTACTAGTTCGCTGAAAACACGGCCAAAATCGGCCTGATGACATATGTGAAAAATAAGATTAGAAAATCCACATAATTCTAGATTTGTTAAGTTTTTATAATATTGAATCAATCAGTCATGGGTTAGTTTTGTGTATTTTTCGATTTTTATCGATCTGAAAGATCCGTCATTAACGCGGTCATGTTTATGGAAATATGCTCATATTTGCACGTTTGTTGAGCCATGACGACAAATACGTATTTTAAGAAAACAAAGATATGCATATAATGGAATCACAGAAAAAGTATAAACTTGTTGGTTACATGCGCTGGCACTGCAAAAAATAAAATGTATTACTCTACATTCCGGCATTTTTTGACGTGAATTACTACATAATAACTTATCGAATATTCCATATCAAATTATTATATATGATAAGAAATATAGAACACCATGCAGTCTTACGCATAAATTAAAAGCGTTTCACCGATATATTGTCTACTAAACACGTTGCCCGATTCATCGCTTCGACAAATCTGAGCTTTTAATCGACAACGCTGTCTCGCTGTAGTATTCTTTTTCTTGATGTGAGGGGAAATAAAAATAATACCACCCATCATAATAATCATTTCGTCAACCCGGATTCGACATAACTATAGAATTAACTATCAACCATTACGGCAACAAATACCTGTAAATGAGATTATCTCTTCCTGGACCATTAGAGATATTCATATGATCAGTATGTCATAAAAAGATTCAGCGTTGATTTACAAACAGCAATGAAATGAAAATGGAAGGAAATTTACTAACATAACACATGAGTGGCCGTAGAGTAACAAATAACGCATTATCTGTAAATGGATATTCGTTTATCGAAACTTCTTCAATTACAGCAACAACAAAAATAATTTCCGTATGAGAAACTTATTATCGATACCCCTAAATATTTTGTAAATATTGAAAAGCTGAAGGCCTATGGAAGACAGGAAGATGACGCATATGAGCTTTTAGCTAGTGATGACCGGGAAGTACCGAGAAAACTATAGGTACGTAACCCCAATATCTTATATATACAAGTACGTAAATGAGTGCTACCACCGTCGTGACGTGGCTCAATCAATTAATCGTCGGAAACTTGATAGCCATTTTTTTCTTCTTCATAAAGATAAACAAAATAAAACTAAAAAACAGATCACCTTGGTATTGTTTAATAATGAAGGTTTAATGTTATAACAGAAACAGGAAAACAAAAATATTACAACATTTTAAGAAGTATTATCAGACAATATGGAGAAAGCGTAAAAATAACCAACGCGCATCACCTTTACCTGTATGAAGTGAACTGAAGGGGCACCCATATCTTTTACATAAACAACTCCACAAATCACCTACTGCTATAAAGACATAACACACATCACCAACGCCTTAACAGGAAGACAATAGCCATGGGGTCATGTCAAGATTTAGGACCATAATGATAGGTGACATTCGATAACATCTCAACCAATATTACAATTAAGGATCCCCGTACCACTGCCAAAAAAATAAAACTAAGCATTCGAAACTTAATTTTCCGGCACGACTATAACTTTGATAAGTTATTGTTGAAAAGAAAAATATACCTTGTGGGACTTTTATGAAACACAATGGAGATGAAATAAACAAAATATAATCAACTATATTCTGCGGAACTAGACTGGGGTTCGAACCCTGGGTCCGTATTCATGAAACTGTCCTCGTGCTCAAGCATGGATTCTGTGCTCAAACCAACTTTCTTATAACCCACTTATATCATGTCAAACGATCAAAAAGTCAATTGTAAACATTGGACACAGTTTTCGGGTTCAAGTTTCTTTAATTTATAACTAATTTTCCAAAATAGGGTTTTTAAAATAAGTTATAACCGGAAGAAGAAATAAGGCTTGGGCAAAGAATCCATGTTTAAACGTGAGAACGGTTTCATGAATACAGGTCCTATACTTCAGATTGTTATACCATTGCTGAAACCGATTGAGCTACATGCACAACGAAAGTGTAGGAGCCAATATGTGCTACAGTTATATCCAAACGGAAGTTAAGGGGAGGTAACTGTATTAAGCAAAAACGGCAGTGCAGCCGGACAGGGACCCTTAATAAACTAAAGTGGAACTGATGATGGATGTACAGTTGACTAATGTACAATTGACTCATTAACGGCTATCAGTAACATTACGTAAGTGAGCGTGTATATATACGTATCCTAATTACGGATATATGTCGTTATTCTAAAGATCTCCACACCTTATATTCCACATTATGGGGACAATCCGCTTTCAAAAACAATACAATGCCCATTTTATTTTGCAATGACCAATTAGTAATCCATCTTATTCATTTGCTAAACATGCAACGGAAGTGATGGAGTGCTTACAAAAAGTGATATATATGAACAAAAATTAAGGTTGTTCAGATACATTTTCATCATTGTCGTCGTCTGTATGCGTAATATAGTCACCAGAAGCAAATCCAATCAATACCGAGACATTCTCGGAAACAAATGATATTTTTGACATTCCCTATCAAAGACAATAGCTCATTGGTGACCACTTCTGATCGATTCAGTGTCAACTATGTAGATATCGCTATGATTGAAACTCGCATTCATCAACATTATCTTCGCGGTTACAATTAGTACCGTAAGCCACGTTCACTGCTGGTCTGGGAATGACCTTTATACACAGTATAACCGTCCATCTCCTTGAAACCGTTCATCGAATGGTTTGGCAAGTTATAGTCCTCCCTGTTATCTGGGGGCATTCCGTTCATCTCATGTCTGGCTCTGAAAGCCGGAGGGACTCCATTCATTCCGTGCCTCGCCTTGTCATCCTCTAAACCATATCTTCTGAAATATTCATTTTGTCGATTCCTCAGGCGGCGCTGCTGACGTTTTCGTCTAGCCCTTTCTTTCTTGGCGTCGTTCGCCTTACACTTGCTAGCGCCATAACCGCACAGCTCTATGAGCAGTTGCACCACCTCAAACATACTGAGCATGGACAGTCCTATCCAGAGACCGATAGCACCGCCAACGTCCGAAGCGAACTGCGCCGTCTGCAATACAAATGAAGTATTCGACTTTGTAATATTTTTCACATCAGTACAAAATCAGCGGAACCATCTTCTAATTGAATATATTAACTTTTAGTAATAAAAAAAATCCATATAACTCATTCATATATTCTATTTTCCACTTACCCCGATGTGTTGATATCTTCTGTCTAATTGGGGTGAAAAGAAACCTGTGAGTGAAGGGGGGGTGGGGGNATTTTTTTTAAGTACAAACACCTTACCTCGATTTCTGGTGTTTCTTCAATCCTTTCGTAATTTAAATCTTCATAATAGATGACCAATTTCAGAAAGTTTTTACTGCAAAACAATACCAATGAGCTTTCATTAAAGCATATCTCTAATATAAGCCTGTAGATTAACGTTATCTTTGGTATCTATCCTTAAAATTGTGTATTCTATTTGTCGTAGTTTTTTTTATCTGTATTACCACTAATGCGTCCTAAGGGGATGAAATGCCAATATAGTGGAGTGAAATGCTTACTTTATTTTACATTTTGCAATAATAAACTTCTTTTTTTTTTTAAATAAGTGCTTCATTCTTTTGCATTTCTATTGATTATTTGACTTACATACCTTAGTTCCGCCTTGTCGGTGATCGCTGCCAGATGTTTGCAGTCAGCAGTTCTGTTGTCAGTCTCACAAATCGCCTGAACTAACACTGTCTGTAGTGTTGAAGTGAAACAAAATCATTATATAATATCAACAATTGTGACAAAATTTCAAACATGTATTAATCACTCTTGTTGGCCCAGATGGAAGCGCGCAGATGGAAGTGGAAGTGGAAGGAAACCGGAGTACCCAGAGAAAACCCCACGTGATCGGGCAGTTAACCCTGTACATGTATACCTCTTCATGTCCGATCGCGGAATCGAACCCCAGCCGCCTTTATGAAAGGCGAGTGCGTTATCCACAGCACAACCCGACAACAAAATGATTGGTATCACTGGCAATGAAGACGTCGTCTATCGAAACTACAAACAACTAAATCTTATACTAATGAATCAAGATCATTTAGATAATTTACATATTGGTAGAAGAATAAATATAAACTCTTTTTATTTTACAACAATTTTGAAACAACATCAATTACTCTTGATGACAGGGATGTAAGTGCATATTGGTATTATAATAATTCCTTTGTTTTAATTGCATACAGTTGTTAGTATTTACGTTCTGTGGTAAATGATTACCAGTTCTTGGTATTTTGATGACATGCCCATATTGAGTATTTTGAGATCAAAGAAATATTATACATAATTCTTGATGAACCTTTGAAATGCCTTAAAGCAGCTTTTCGACAATTATACATAACTACATTTTACAGAAAGTGAGCCACGTTCAACCTCGTACTTACAGAGTAATCCTCGGTCGGCCACTGTCTCGTACTGAACGTCTTCCCATAAACCGTCTCCCTGCCATGTACATTAAACAGCTTCAGTAGTCAAGACTAAAAAAATGTTCTATTTTAAGATAAGAATATTTTTCAGGCAAATTTATATTTACATGTATACCCATTATCCTCAGAGCAGAGCCAAGAAGCAAAAAATGACAAACTATCACCATAGCGTTTCTCATAAGGAAACTTGACCCACTGGGCCATACAATATATACAACTGATCAACTCGACACACTGGGCCATTCAATATATAAATGATAAAATGGACTCATTGAGCCATTCAATATATAAATGATAAACTGGACTCACTGGGCCAATCTATATAAACAACTGATAAACTTGACTCACTGGGCCATTCTATATATACAGCTGATAAACTTGACCCACTGGGCCATTCTATATATGCATACAACTGATCAACTTGACCCACTGGGTCATTCTATATATGCATACAACTGATCAACTCGACACACTGGACCATTCAATATATAAATGATAAACTTGACTCACTGGGCCATTCTATATAAACAACTGATAAACTGGACTCACTGGGCTATTCTATATATGCATACAACTGATAATCTGGACTCACTGGGCCATTATATATATACGACGGATAAACTGGACTCACTGGGCCATTCTATATAAACAACTGATAAACTGGACTCACTGGGCCATTCTATATAAACAACTGATAAACTTGACTCACTGGGCTATTCTATATATGCATACAACTGATAATCTGGACTCACTGGGCCATTATATATATACGACGGATAAACTGGACTCACTGGGCCATTCTATATAAACAACTGATAAACTGGACTCTCTGGGCCATTCTATGTAAACAACCGATAAACTGGACTGTCTGGGCCATTCAATATAAACAACTGATAAACTTGCCTCACTGGGCCATTCTATATAAACAACCGAGAAACTGGACTCACTGGGCCATTCTATAAAAACAACTGATAAACTTGACTCACTGGGCTATTCTATATATGCATACAACTGATAATCTGGACTCACTGGGCCATTATATATATACGACGGATAAACGGGACTCACTGGGCCATTCTATATAAACAACTGATAAATTGGACTCACTGGGCTATTCTATATAAACAACGGATAAACTGGACTCACTGGGCCATTCTATGTAAACAACTGATAAACTGGACCCCTTGGGCTTTTCTATATAAACAACTGATAAACTTGACTCACTGGGCTATTCTATATATGCATACAACTGATAATCTGGACTCACTGGGCCATTATATATATACGACGGATAAACGGGACTCACTGGGCCATTCTATATAAACAACCGATAAACTGGACTCTCTGGGCCATTCTATATAAACAACCGATAAACTGGACTCACTGGGCCATTCTATATAAACAACTGATAAACTGGACTCACTGGGCCATTCTATGTAAACAACTGATAAACTGGACTCATTGGGCTTTTCTATATAAACAACTGATAAACTGGACTCACTGGGCCATTCTATATAAACAACTGATAAACTGGACTCACTGGGCCATTCTATATAAACAACTGATAAACTTGACTCACTAGGCCATTCTATATAAACAATTGATAAACTGGACTCACTGGGCCATTCTATATATACAGCTGGTAAACTTGAACCATTGGGCCATCCTATATAAACAACTGATAAACTGGACTCACTGGGCCATTCTATATAAACAACTGATAAACTGGACTCACTGGGCCATTCTATGTATGGGGGGCATTATACCGGGTTATCATTGTACATTGATATAATGGGATTCCATATAGACCATTGATACATACGAGCATGGGTTGGGGCAGTCACATTTTAATGTCTTTTGTTCGAGCTCTTCCTGAATAATGGCCTGACAGTCGAGCTCTGCTGTTGTGTTGCAGAATCTCTCGGTTGTAATGCCGGCCATATAGAAGAGTTCCTGCATACGCAATTCATAACAGCCACATCTCGACAGCATGGCTTCCTCTATACATGCATTGAGGCACGCCTACCAATAAAAGGGCTTTTTAGAATCTCTCATTTCTTTAAAATGTCGTAATAAAAAAAAATAAAAAAAATAATAAGATTATATTGATATACTTACATTTGGAATTGAACGTGATAAACAAATATAGCATTTACAACGTTATAGTTTTGGAAATAATATGTACATATCGGCAATGAGATTGATCAGTTTGAAAATACATAATAATTTTATATCAAAGTGTTACTTGCTTCACAACCAATGACCGTATTAAAGGTGTAGTTTGACAATGGGACCAGTCGGTCTCTGAACGTCGCGACACATTAAATACGTACATTGCTTGTGTAGAAAGAAACACTTTGATATCAATATGTGGACATACGTGATCATCCGCTTGTTTATCGTATATATATATAGATTTCAATGGTGTAGGTATGCTTTGATTTTGCTTGTAATCTAATACATTATATGAAAGTCTGCTGTACATTTACGAATACAACAATTTGAACGTAGACTGAATCTATCTATATTTGATTTAAACATTTTTTATTTGTCATTCAACAAAAAGGATTAGGCACAAGTTATCTCAACTTAGAAACGCCTTGTCCAATACATTTCATTATATTGATTACATGACAACAACAACAAATATATTTACAATATATATGAACACAGAAGAAAGGAAGAGAAAAAGGGAAGAAAAAGAAATTTAGAAGCATAAGAAAGAGAGATGATAGGATAATACTACTTACCTTAAAATCTGTTACTATTTTTTATGTAGGTTTGGACTATATGGAAGATATTTGCATTGTCTTCATCTCACAAGTCTATTCTATAGCTACTCGTCCCGTAGGTATTTCTTACCTGTTGCGTGTATTTTTTCCTGTACCTTTGTTCGAAGGACGCACCATCCGTACATTCACCATACGGCTTACCGCTTCTGTAAATATCCACCTACAATCACAAGACTGCCAGTCAAAAGGATGTGGTCAAATTGTCAGTGGCATAATTACGTATATCTGACCGTTCGTCACTGACGTGAGAAATGGTCGTTAAAGCTCAATGCAATAACTAACAAGAGACCCAGAGGGCCTGTATCACTCACCTGAATATGTTTAAAATAATTGGTATGAAGCAAAGATATAGCACTCCATGGTAGGTGCTGTAAGTACATATGAAATTTCAGAAAGATCCATCCAGTACTTAAGATATAGCGAGAACAAACTTCAAACAGAGCCCCACCCCTATGCACCAATTATACAAAATTTAGTTCCATTTGCCCAAGGATGCTCCAGACTAAATAAGGATAAAATCCCTTAATCCCGATGGTCGATGAAGGATTTTAAAAGTTTTACCTCTATTTCTCCTATTGGGCCCCGCCCTTCTGCCCCCTGGGAGACCACACCCACTGCTTATACAAAATTGAGTCCCCTTGGCGTAAGGATGCTCCAGACTAAATTCCTCAATCCCTATGGTAGGGGTTCAGACACACCGTTTATACAAAATTGGTTCCCCTTCACCCGAAGATGCTTCATACCAAATTTGGACAAAATCCTATCATTCCTATAGAAGAAGAAGGATTTTGAAGAATTTGCTAAGTTTTCCCTATTGGCCCAGTCCCTTCTGCCCCCAGGGCACCACACTCGCTGTTTATACGAAAACAACCTTTTGCCCAAGGATGCTCCAGACTAAATGAGGATAAAATCCCTTCATCCCAATGGTCGATGAAGGATCTTAAAGGTTTTACCTCTATTTCCCCTATTTGGCCCCCAAACCTCAGGTCCCGGGGGAGGAGGGGGGGGGGGGGGGGGATGCACACCCATCGTTTACACAAGGATGCTTCATACTAAATATGGACCAATTCTTTCAATTCTACAGAAGAAGGATTTTAAAGAATATTTGCTATGTTTCCCCTATTGGGCCCCGCCCCTTAGGCCCCTGGGGTCCAGACCCATGGTTTATACAAAACTTGTTCCCCTTCACGCAAGGATGCTCCACACCAAATATGGACCAAATCCTTTCATTCCTACGGAAGAAAAAGGATTTTAAAGAATTTGCTTTATTTCTCCTATTGGGCCACGCCCCTCAGGCCCCAGGAGGGCCAGACCCACGGTTTATTCAAAATTGAGTCCCCTTGGCCTAAGCATGCTCCAGACCAAATTTAGTCAAAATCTACTTCGCCGTTCAGGACTAGTAGCGTTTTAAAGGAAAAGTTGACGGACGGACGGACCACGGACGGACGACGGACGCTGCGGTATGGCATAAGCTTACCATGGTCGTTCGGAGCAGGTAAGCTAAAAATAATCCGATTATAAGGGGAATCTATGTTGTATTTCTACTGAAAGGATCAATGTACCGTACTGTTGAAGGGATCTATGCTGTCTTCCTTTTGGTGGAATCTTTTAAAAATATATAGTATATATATGGGTTGCCTTGTTGAGTGGGATTTTTTTTGTAATGGTTTTATTTTTCTTAGTTTTTCATTACATATACATAAAACAGGACATTCACGCATTCTCACATATATCACATATACACACACGGACATGGATTCAGCATTATCACAATCAATTTCATTGTCATCATTCTATCATCATCAACATATCATCATCATCATTATCTTTATCATCTTCTTCATCCTCTTTCATATATACTTATTCAATCATCATCATTGCCATAATCCATCATCATCCAAAATCTTAAATCATCATTTCATATATATCATCATGTGTGTCACGAAAGTTGTGAAGTTTGTGAACGAAGACCTTAAAGTGAAAGTTCTTAGTGAGGACATAGATATCGCACACAGACTTGGTCCTTTCGTCAGTAGAAAATCACGTGCGATTATTTGCAAATTCACTAACAGGAGGAAAAAGTTTGAAGTGCTGCAGGCTAGGAAAGTACTGAAGAATTCTGGCAGACATGTGTTTGAGGATCTGACGCGACAAAATCAACAAACTCTTACGCAAGCATACAAACTAGACTGTGTAGAGCATTCGTGGAGTGTGGATGGCAAACTGTTCCTGAAACTGAAAAACGGTAAGAAAAGGCGGCTATTCAGAGAGACAAATTTGACAGAGTCCTATTTGACAAACGATGCTAATTTCTAGCCCAGCAATAAGTGATATGAACATTTAAAACTAATAATGAAATATGTGTGAACAAACCTTACTTTATGACAACATTTATATGTTTTTATATTAATTTCCGGAAAAAATACCGTTTCGTTTCCTTTCTATTCTAATTATAAGAGATGTA